TCGGAATAATCGACTCGGTCGTTTTACTACACATCTATTGACACGAAATTGTTTTTTATTTACACGTTTTCCATGGAAAACGACGAATTCGACGAGAAGTTTGTTGTTGTTGTGATTTCAAGGTTTCATCGAGCGTGTGAATCCGGCAGACGAAAATTTTAAAGAAAAATATTTTGATTCATTGCACGCCTGGCCGATCGTTCGATTCTTGAAATACCTGGAAAAATAAAAGAAATAATAATAATGATAATAACTGGAGGTTTTCGTCATCGAAAAAAGTAATTAAGGAAAACAATGACGAGCGTGACGATATCGAGATGACGATGATGGCGTGATAACAATCGTAAAAATCAAATGAAATTAATTGTGGATGTTGTTTTGATTTTCAATATGGCGGACGGAAGGAACGACGGAGTAATTTTGTTTTCTTCTTATTCAGGTGATAACTTGCTCGTCCTCATTTATTTCCGGTTCGTGTTTTCGTCGGTTTATTATAAACTCGTTAAAATTTCGTCTGCTGAAACGTTTTGACGACGATACGAGATTTTTCAAGGCGACGAATTTTTAATGTTTTAATAGATCGTCGGATGTGTAATAATGATGAGAAGATTTTTAGTCTGGAAATGAGAAAATTCGGTCACGTGGTTTTCCTTATTGTTTTGCGTCCCGGATGATGATGATGATGATGATGATGATTCTCTCTTATTAGTAATTTATGCGGATTTAAAAAAAAAAAAAAAACTTCTGGAAATGTGGAAGAACGTTAATGTGCCAAAAAGGAAAATTTACTGCTCGTTTCAGGCATTTTATTATTATTATTATTACTACTATAGTTTTTCAGGTATCGGAGAAAAATTATTATTATTATAATTTCGGGCTTTTTTTTTCCTAGGCGACATTTGACAGCCTTTGGTCGCTTCTTTGGATTTGTCATCAGAAATTTTTGTAAATTTAATGCCACGTCTATTTGTCTCTCTCTCTCTCTCTCTTTGTCTCTCTGCCTCTCTCTCTCCTTCTCTTTCTTACTATCTTTTTCTCTCTCTCTCTCTTTACTTTCCGTCGCTGTTCGTGATGGTGATCGTAATGATGATGATGATTAAATCGTCTGCGTATTCGTTCTTTGAAAAGGCTGTCGTTATATTATAACAGAATTATTAAATAATAATAATAGTAATAATAATGATGATGATGATGATGATGATGATGACGCATCCCTTTGAACGTGGTTTTAAATTTTATTATTTAAACGACGAAATCATTTTTAATTGATCGAATTATTTAAAGAATTCATCTTATAAATATATATATTTTTTTCTTTCTTTCTTTCTTTCGTCGGGGAATAAGATGATGGTGGCACGGGGGGGGGGGCAAAAGGAACAAAAGGAGGAAGGGAGGGGGAAGAAAGAAAAGCAAAAATTTTTGTGATGGTGGTGAAAATGGAACACGTTTGATTTTTTCTTCGAGGAATTTTCTAGAAAACGAAATCGTTTGAGTGCGTGCGTGCGTTTTTTTTGGATTCAAGGTAAGCAAGTCTAGGAGTTAACGCACATGTTATGCGTTTGTTAAAATAATAGCATAGGAAACGGAAGAGGGTAAAGGGGAGAGAAGAAAGAGGGGGGAGAGAGAGGATATGTGTGAGATTTTTAAGCTCAGGGTTTTGAAATCTTACGAAATTCGCGGCGAGGTCACCAAAAAAAAAAAAAATTTGAGAGAGAGAAAGAAGGTCGCGATAAAATTTGCAATTAAAACGCGGCGTAATTATTTGTTTTTTTTTTTGCATGTTTTTGATGACCGCGAGGGAATTTCCAGGTTTTTTTTTTCCCTCGCTTCCTTAATTACTTGAAGAGAGAGAGAGAGAAAGAGAGAGGGGGAAGGAAAAGAGTCGAGGAACGCAACTTCCTTTTACTAAAACATTATTTTGTGGGAAAAGGAAAACAAGTCATTTTAATTTAAAATCTGTCAATTGATTATTAACAGAGTCACGATCATCATCATCATCATCGTCGTGTTGTAAATTATTTAAACAAGAATTTTATTATTATTATTATTATTATTCTTTCAGTGTGTTTTAAATTAATAATAATTGAGTCTTTATTATTATTATTATTATTTTCGCTCTTTGATTTGAAATGAAAAAAAAATTTATTTTATTTTATTTTATTTTACGACGTCTTTTGGTTGTTGTTCCTTCTTTTTCTTGTTCATTTGGTTGTTGTTGTTGTTGTTAATTAATTATCGACTGGTTGTTCGTCGTTTGTCGTCGCAACAACGGATATCTTTATGCGTTTATTTTAAAAAAAAAAAAAATGTGTTTTCGATTTTGAATCGTTTTGAAATTTATTTTTTAAACCGGATGATGAAATGATTATTATTTATCGTTTTTGAAATTTATCATCATCATCATCATTATTATTATTATTATTAATAATATTTTCGTCGTTATGTTGAATGCCCTGAATTTAGATTCACTCCAGCTCGTCTTTCCCTGCGGTCAAAAAAAAAAAAAAAAAAAAACATTTCCGAACCGTCGCGTCGTTTGTTTCTTTCTCGCTCTCCACGTGGTTTTGTTATCGTTGATGACGTCATCATCGATCGTTACCGAAAGAAGATGATGATGATTATTTTAAGGTTTTTTTTTCCTCACCCCTCCCTCCTCCTTTCCCAGCCCTATGGAAACCTTTCGAATTCGTCCATGTCGTAAATTAAAAAAAAAAAAAAAGGGAAAAAGAGGGCGGGTAGAATGTTTTATCATGTTAGAAAACAATTTTCCGATTTTCCCTATTTAAGAAAAGTCAAACTTGTGGAGGAGACATTTTGGGGGGAGAGAAGGGGGATAAAGGGATTCTTTCGATTAAATTACATGTAACGAAGAAGTATCGGAAGAAAAACAAAAAAAAAAAGAAAGTTAAGATAAATGTGTAGCGTTCGGTAATGATAACAATGAAAAACGTGGTTTTAGAATCGATAATTTTAATTTTAATTTTTTTTTTTTTTTATTCAAAGAAAGGCGATGAATTATCAATGATGATGATGATGATGGATGAGTGAAATCGGGAAATAACCGGCGAATTATTTAAATTCGTAGTTAATAAAAAAAGAAAATGGCGGCAATAAATTTTATTTATTTATTTATTTATTTATTCGCCTACTAAATTTATCCAAAAAAATAAAAGTTAATTCGTGCCGCGTTCGTGTTTGTACGATTCGGTGAAAGTCGGTTTGAAACACTAACAAACAAAATAATGATGATGATGATGATGATAATGATTCTTTTATTTCGAACGCGGGGGGCGGCGGCGGGTGGGTGGCACGTGATTAAATATCGACGGCTACGATTTTTCATGAGAAAACAATCAAATTTGATTAATCGCAATCGAAAAAAAAAAACAAGGTTCGAATCGAAAGGTTTAATGTAAACAAACGAACAAACAAACAAACAAAAGTCGGATTGATGATGACATCGTTGCGTTCACGACTCGAACTTTGCGGTAAAAGTTTTTCCATTTTTCTTTTCGTCGTCGATTATTTTTATTATCGTTTTTATCATCATACGTCGTCTGCTGCCACTTTTTTTTTGTTGACCTTTTTTTTTTTTTTGGTTAGTATTGTCTTTGTGAGACAAAAGGAAAGAGAAAAAAAAATGGATGGCGTGATTATTTATTAGGGGTAACAACAAACAATGCGACGGATAAACAAATGAAAATTTTCGAGAGAATAAATTTGTTGAGATTAAATTGAGGAGGTTGGGGGAGGGGAGGGGAGGGAAATGTGATGGGTACTACCGGAAATGCGAGTTTGTAAGAGCGGATAAATTAAAAAAAATGGTAGGAAAATGACAACGATGACGACGATAGGGAGAGACCGAGAACAACAACAACAATAAGAAAATTTTTTTTATGACGTCACAACTTGTTTGAATCGTCTCCCGTTAAATTTTCGGGAAGATTTTTCTTATTCGTTTCATTTAATTTACTTACTCGTTTTTTTTTTTTCATGCGTGGTAGCAGAATGACTGACGACTGGAAGGAGGGGGAGGGCGAAGGGGAAGGGGAGGGATCGTTTTTCTTAAATACAATTATCATCGTCTACCCTTTTTTTTTTCGGGTCGTAAATTCCCCGTAACCACCTGATGTCTTTACATTAGGGTACGTCAAAAACTCTTTTCGGGTTCGAAATGAAAAAAGAGAGAGAGAGAGAGAGAGATAAAAGAGAGAGAAAGGGAAAGAGAAAGAGAGAGAAAGATGTAAGTGGAAAAGATAAAACGTTTCGGCAGTTGTATTATTATTATTATTATTACTCTTTTCGCCCTTTCGAATCCAATAAAAATAAATTTTCCGATTGAAATCTTTATCCTCTCTCTCTCTCACTCACTCACTCTTTCCCCTCTTTTATCTCTCTCTCTCTTTCTCTCTTTCTCATTTCCAAAAATTTGTTTTTTTTTTAATTCGCGAACGAATATCGTCATTATTATTTTTTTATTATTATTATTAATTTTTATTTTGTACTTTGAACTCTATAACGATGACTGTACCTCCTCCGTCATTTTGTTGTTGTTGTCGATTGTTGATTGTTTACGCCGCTTAAAAAAAACCGAACGTATATACGTGCGAACGTTTTTTTTTTTTTTTTTCGACAACTGGGTTAGTGGAACATTAAAAATTTTTGTTATTAGATTATATCCATTAGTCGAGTGAGTCGTCGTCGTCATTGAAGTTTGTTTTGTTTTGTTCGTTTTATTTATAATAATTATTATTATTATTAATTTTTTCATAATGATAATAATGATGATTCGAAATTGGATGAATTTTTTGGGGGGGCACGATGATGATGATGATGATGATAAATGTGTCGGAAGGAAATCATTTTTTAATAAAATGATAAATAAAATTGTGCGTACTGCGTTTGTTTCGTTTCGTTTCGTTTGTTTCGTTTTCCGTTTGTTTGTTTGTTTGTTTGTTTGTTTCAAATGTAGTTTTTAATAATTTTTTGTTTTGTTATAGAACACTTACACGAACGCGGAAAAATTACTCACGGCCGCGGAAGAACTTGCTCAAACGCGAGAGTGTAACGCCGAAGAAATATATTCGGTCGCACACGAATTGGAAAATCATGTTACCAGTTTTGCCAACAGAGTAGAGCAAAGGCGTCGGAGATTAGATTACGCCGTTAGATTCTACAGCCACGACAAAGAGGTTAGTTTGTCGTAAAAAAAAAAAGAGAAAGACGTAATTTTTTTCTCATGATTTTTTTTTAAAAGAAACTGGTTTATATTTTTTTATTTTTTAAATAATTAATTGCTTTTTTTCAAAATGTCTGTCTATCTGTCCTTCGTCATGTTTTTGTCGTCTATAGCAGAAGATATTTTTTTTTTATTAAAGTTTTTGTCAGTCGGGGCTATTCGTTTTAACTTGGCACAATTTCTCTCTCTTTATTATTATTATTATTATTGGTTGTAATTATTATGTTAAAGTGAAAACGGTAATTAATCTGTTTTTTATTTATTTTTTTTTTAGTATTTTCCCTTCCCCTCTCTCCTCCCCCCGAATACATTCTTGAGAATGATTTTGTTTAGCTTACCTGATATCTACGAATCGGGGGAGGGAAGGGGGAGGGGAGGCAGCACTTTGACCTCGCGAACACGTGCCTTGCATAAAACCTTGTTTTTTTGTATTGTTTCGATATGTTCGATTTTTTTTTAGGTTTTTCGTTTGATGGTGGTGGTGGCGGTGGCGGTGGCATACCGAACGTTTCCTTTCACTTTAACCTATTCTTTTTATGTTACAGTTGAGCAATTGGGTGGATCAATTACGGCAGGAGATACAAAATGTAGAAGCACCAGAAAGTCTCGAAGCTGCCGAACAGTTGTTGGAGCAGTGCTCGCAACAGAAAGAATCATCTTTGGACGCTTGCAATCGTACAATAGGAGAAGGTCAGGCACTCCTTCAGGAGCTCAGGTACGATTTAGTAATAATAATAATGTTTTTTTTTCTCTAATTTATTATTATTACTATTGTTGGTTTTTTCTATTCGTTATCGGGTACGTGCTTTCCCCCTTCCCTCTTCCCCCCGTATTCGTGATGGGTATTACGAAAGAAGTTGCTGCGCACTCTCTCTCTCTCTTTTTCTTCTCTCATTTTTTTTTTTTAATGGAGATCGTTCGACCGTGTCACGAACGACGAAATAAAATAAAAACTAATGATGATTGAAAGCTTCGATCGATTCGTTTTTTTTTTTTAACAAAAAGCACACATGTCGAACGCGAATCATGATGATGACCTTTCGGTCGACAAGAACATTAGAAGAAAATAATAATAATAATAATGATAAAAACCACAGCCTTCTTTATTATTATTATTATTATTATTTAACCATTTAGATTTAAATTGTCCGGTAATGATAAATTTTTGTACAGAGTCGTCGTCGTCGTCGTTCTTCCTTCACTTTAATTATATTTTTAAAAAAAATTTGATAATCAAGTTTAATTGAATCCATCCATGCATCATCATCCGTTTATACGACGTACACGCGTGTGTACGCGTGTACTTTTTTTTCTTCTTCCACGTTTTTTTTTTCTTTTTCCATTTCGTCACGTGATTGCGCATTTTAAGGTTTTCTCTTCGGGGTAATGTTTTCGTATCGTGGTCGTCGTCGTCGTCGTCGTCGCATTCCTTTTACCTTACTGGTAGTAACTGCCTAATCGGTTAAATTTAAAACTTGACCAACTGTCATCATAACATCTGGTCACGCTTCGTCTAATGTTCTCTCTCTCTCTCTCTTTCTCTCTTTCTCTCTGTCTATGTAATTTGAAACCGTGGAAAAAGCGAACACGAAACTCGTCGCGTTTTTTTTTTCTGTTACCTCTCCTCACCTCTACTCTTGTGACTAATCGTTGTGATACCTACGGTGACGATGATGTTCGGAGGAGGATGAATGATTCGAGTAGTGGTCAAATTTGATTTCGTTTTTCACATCCGAACGTGTTTCATTATCACCATCACCCACGTTCGAAAAAACTTCACTTCTCCCTACCTCCCTTCCCCCCTTTCCCCCCGTGAATAAAACGAAAACTTTCGAAATGTTTTACTTTCCCCGGTCATTTATTTCTATTTTTTCTTCTCGTCATTAATATGTATTTTTATTATTATTATTATTATTAATTTTATTTTTTTGGAAAGTGAAATATTTGGTCGTGGAACGAACAAACGAACTAGTGTGTAACAGATTGGGAAATTACGCGCGAGAAAGAGAGAAATAATAATAATAATAATCACGTTCGTACGATCGTCGCGACGAACGTGACCGTGCGGTGTCGTTTTTAAACGGTCGCGAACCTGTTTTAGCGTATAGTCTATGTGATGACGTCAGTCAAGGTCATTGAAACAATGTTAGAAATATCGATAAGTATCAATTAATCGAAATATCTATCGCGATTACGCCAAAAAAAAAAAAATTATTCAAAGAGTTTTGATAGTTGTTGTTGTTTGTTATTGTTGTTGTTTGTTGATGATTGTTTAAAAAGAAATTCGTATGATGATGATGATGATGATGATGACGATGACGGATGAAAACACAAGAAGAAGAGGAGATAAATAATAAACAATTTCGAAGAAAGAAAAGAAAAAAGAAAAAGGTTAACGAACCTTTCATAAATGAAATTTTTCCCGTTTTTTTTTTTTTTTCAATGTTGGGTTTCCGTGACGGTTTTTCGACAGGGAAAAATTTCCCTTTCATTCTCACGTTGGCTATATCTAATCGTGTCGTATCTTTAACTTTGTGATTTTTTCGAATCAAGTTTCGGAATCTCGAAGAAAAGACGAAGGCGGTCGGTTCGCCAATGTGAGGAGTGATGAGAGGATGGGGGGAGGGAAAAAAAAAGATAAGGAAAATTTCGATGACTCGTACAAACGCGATTGTTTGTTCTCGTCCGTCCGTTTGTATCCATATTTTCGTTTGTTTGTGTCCGGTTTGCGGTCTTTTTGATCTTGTTTGTTTCTTAATATGTTTTGCCATGTCAGAAAATGTCGGACGTCACGGTTTTCAGTTGTTGTTTCTTTTTTTTTTTCGTACACGACACGCACACACACACACCTGACGCCTGACCTGAACCTGACGACGCATCGCGTTTCGGAAAAGGATTTTCATCCGAGATCGTTCAAGGTCGAATCCGAAAGAATGTTGGTTGTTGTTTTACCGGAAGTTTTGAATCGAACGGTTCCCTCACAATATAAATCATCGCCACTCGTGAATTGTCGATTTCCGTTCGTTCTGGGAATCGTTTTTGGCTTCTTCTTCTTTTTTGTTTGGGGCCCACAGGTTCCCCCGATCGATATATCTGGATTTGGCAACGAGGTGTTACTACTATTTTCTATTTACTTGTTAACGGAAAAGTTAATGAGGGGGGCGGGAGCGGGTTTCGCAAATTCGTTTTATTCAAAAATGACACGGACAGGAACCGACGGACATGAATTCGACAGTTTTACTCGTTTTTTCAATATTATTATTATTATTAGTAGGAAATTTTTTTGTTTATTTCCGGAAAAAGAGAGAGAGAGAGTGAGTAAAAAAAAAAAAATGAGGAAAAGGAGTTGACAAAAAAAAAATGAAATGGGAAGCGGACGACATATTCTTCTGCATTTGTAGAAATTTAATCTTTTTTTATTGTTCTTCAATGTTTTTTTCTTTTCTCTCTCTCTCTCTCTCTCTCTCTCTCTCTCTTTCTCTTTCTCTCTCTTTCTCTCTTTTTATGAGAACTTGTTTTTTTTTTTTTTACGGTGAGTCATAAAATCTTTTGAAGATTTATGTTTTCAAACGGCTAAAATTGAGTGTTTCACGTTGTTTTCTTTTTTTCTTATTTTTTTCAATACTCCAATTGAAATAAAAAAAAAGGGGGGGGAGAGGGTTTTTTTAAGGGATGAAAAATAAAAAAATTTTCAAATGGTACGTGAGGGATAAAGCTTAAAGATGGAGTCGTTCGGAAAGAAAGAAAAGAAAAGTCGAAATTCAAAACGTAATGCAATTTTCAATGGAAAACAATCCACATTGGACGTGAACAACAACAACAACTATCGTTCGTTCGTCGACGATTTAGGGAAAATCAAAAAATAATAATAATGATAATAATAATAATGCAATTACGTCATTTACGGGGGCGGGAATGGGGGCGGGGGCGGCGATCTTGAAATCCGTTTTGGTCATTTGAAAAATTCGCTTTTGGAACGATGGACAAAAAAAAAAAAAAGAAAAATTTGGCCGGCTTTTACGATTCCCCCTCCTCCATCTCCTACCCCTTCCTTTCCTCCCTTATTCCCTTTTTATTTCGATTGTTCCCGAATTATAATTATTATTATTATTTTCACCGCTTATGCCTTCGTAAGGTAAATAAAAAAAAAGTGAGAAAACGATAAACTTTGTTGGTTGACGTTTGAAATCGACGATCTCTCTCTCTCTCTCTAAAAAAAAATTTTTTCCTCAGAATTTTGAAAATTTGGTGGGGAGGCGGGAAGGGGGGGTAGGGCAGGAAACAAAGAAACGGCCGCAAACATTTAAAAAAAAAAAAAAAAAAAAAAAATTTTTAAACCTGTGAGATCGTGACGACCATATTTAGATTTTTTTTTGAATTCCTGGTTCCTTGCTTTACCTTTATTTAGCATAGACGAGTTCATTTTTTTTTTTTTTTGCGATTTTACCGTTGGTATGTTTTTTTTTGGAAAAAAAAATGGAGGTCGTTACGTCATTTAAAAAAAAAAAAATTAATGTTACAGAAGCATCGGTTTAACAAGCGAAATGGATACGACGGGATCAGTCACAGCAGTCGAATCTGCTCTCGACAGAATTAATAAGCAAAGGGAAGAACTCGAAGAATTGTGGGCGACGAGAAAATTAAAATTGGATCTTTGTCTTAGACTCAGATTGTTCGAAAGGGACGCCCTAGAGGTTCGTAAAAAAGTTGTACGACCTCGCGGTTTCATTATCATTATCATTATTATCATTGTTATCGTATTCGCAGGTATCTTCTCAGTTGGAATTATGGGCGGAAAAACTTCAACACACGGAACTAAGTCGAAACGCTCAAAAAGCGGAACATTTACTCAGGTTGCACAACGAAAGTGTCGCACACATGCAAGATACGACATTTCAAGTTCTTCAAACCGGCCAAGAGTTGGCACAGGTACGTACGTGTGTCGTCCTCGTCTTTTTTATTAAATGAAAGAGACTTTGTATTAAGAAAAAAATGGAAAGTTGAAAGAATTTAAAGAGGAAAAAGAAGAAGAAGAAGAAGTGGATCGGAGACAGTTTAGTTGTTATCTTATGACCGATCGAATTGTGTTTAGTTCCACGTTTATCGCGAGTTTTTATTTACACGTTCGATTGTAATCGATGGCGAGTTTGTTGTTGTCGTTGTTATTGCAATTTCCGTTCTATGAAAAGTTTTTTTTTTTTTTCTACCAGGTTTTTGAAACATCGAAAATTTCACTCATGGCGGATAGTCAGTATTCGGCTCAGACGAGAGTTCAAGTTTTATTAGAGTTCCTACACGAGAGAGAAATGGATTTAGAAGACATAGCTGAAATAAAACGGGTTAAATTAGAGCAATGCGTACAATTGTGTCAATTTCAAAACGATGCGAATCAAGTCGTCAAGTGGATAAGAAATGGAGAATCCATGCTCACGGCTAGTTTTACCATTCCCAACAGTCTTCAAGACTCGGAACAGTTGAAAAAAGATCACGAAAAATTTCAAGTCGCCATCGAGGTTAGAGACAACAACAAAAAGAAAAAAAAGTTTTATTGGAAATGTGAGGCGCGAGAGAAAAATGAAAAAATTTTTGTTTTTTTGATTTTATAGAAAACTCACACTTCCGCCGTTCAAATCAAACATCGTTCGGAAGCTCTCATAAATGCGAATCACTACGATCCGAACAGCATTCGTGAAATAGCCGAAGAAGTAACAAAAAGATGGCAGCAACTAGTCACTTGCGCGGAAGAACGACACAAACTCGTGACGGCTTCGTCGAATTTTTACAAAACGGCCGAACAAGTGTGTTCAGTTTTGGACAGTCTGGAGAGAGAGTACAAGAGAGACGAGGATTGGTGCAGCAGCGAAAAAGTCGTGTCGGGAGATAAAATCGTCGCCATTGCCGAACACATAAACAAACATCAGGAAAAGAAGGAAGCTTTTTTGAAAGCGTGCACACTCGCGAGGAGAACGGCGGAAACTTTTCTGAAATACACGAGTCGGAGTCTTCAGTATTATAATTACCAAGGGGAAGCCGGAACGAGAAATGCCGAACAACGAGTCAAAGGTAAATTAGATAGTTAAGAATCGGATTAAAATTTGGCGGGAAAAATAATTTGAATTTTTGTTTTTTTTTTCTCCAGTGATACTGGAACAAGTTTTGAGCCAGGAAAATAAAGTTTTAGAATATTGGACGCTTAGGAAAAAAAGATTAGATCAATGTCAACAGTACCTGCTTTTCGAGAGATCAGCTCAACAAGCTTTAGAATGGATACGTGACAAGGGCGATCTCTACCTATCGACTCACACGTCCGTGGGTCAAAACAAAGACGAAACAGAAACGTTGCTCTCGGAACACAACGAATTCAAAGGGAAAGCCAAAGTGAGTGTTTCTTATATAGAGATAGATATGCGGGAAAATGAAGTTTTCTCATTTGTTTTGACGTATGTGTTCAGGAAACGCGAGAAAGAGTTAAACTCATCATTCAATTGGCGGATAATCTCGTTGAAAATGGACACGCTCACGCGAACGCCATTAAACAGTGGGTGGCAGCCGTCGACAACAAGTACAAAGATTTTAGCTCGAGAATGAACAAATACCGGGGTCAATTGGAAAATTCTCTGGGAATACAAGCGAAAGCGGAATTGAAACAAGATTTGTCCATTGATCGTAATTCGGATTCCTCCCTGGACAACAAAGTCAAAGAACCCACGTCGAAGGATTTGAAAGAATTGAACGAAGAGAAAAGGAGATCAGCGAGAAGAAAAGAGTTTGTTTTTTTTCTATTCTACTCTTCCCCCCCCTTTCCCCCCAGTTGATTTTCTAATTCGGGCATATTGTTTTAAATGCAGATTCATAATGGCTGAACTCCTTCAGACTGAAAGAACGTACGTCAAAGATTTAGAAACTTGCATAAAAGTTTTCCTGAACGAAATGAGAACGTCTTCTAGTCTTCCCATTCACATACACAACAAAAGCGATGTAGTTTTTGGTAACATGGAAGAAATATACGAATTTCACAACGGGATATTTCTTAAAGAACTTGAAAAATACGAAACAATGCCGGAAGATGTCGGTCACTGTTTCGTCACATGGGTAAGATGGCGACACGCGCGAGGACTCGATGGTGATGGAAAAAAGGAAAATGGCTGAATTAATTTCTTCTTTTTACAGGCTCAAAAATTTGACATGTATGTAAAATATTGTAAAAACAAACCAGATTCGAATTCGGTGCTAGTCAATCACGCGGGTACATTTTTCGAAGATCTTCAAAAGAAACACAGGGTGGAACATCCCATAGCCGCGTACCTGATAAAACCCGTACAAAGGATAACAAAATATCAGCTTTTGTTAAAAGATTTGCAAAGTTGTTGCCAAGAAGGACAGGGAGAAATAAAGGTTTCCGTTTCCGCTTTTCACATTTTTGTTTCCGGGGAGGTAGGAGATGGTAAAGTAATAACGATGACATGATAAACAATTTCAGGACGGTCTCGAAGTCATGCTCAACGTTCCGAAAAAAGCAAACGACGCCATGCATTTGTCACTTTTGGAAAATTGCGACATTTCATTGGATAAATTGGGAGAAGTCATTTTGCAAGACACTTTTCAAGTTTGGGATCCGAAACAGATAATACGAAAAGGTCGGGAAAGGCACATATTCCTTTTCGAACTTTATTTATTGTTCAGCAAAGAAGTGAAAGATTCGAATGGAAAAGCCAAATACATATACAAAAATAAATTAATGGTGAGTTGAAAGCGGCGGAGTTGTCCGAGCGATTTTTTGTGGGGGGCCGACGGGGGCGACGACGACGACGCACGAGTAATTTTTTGTGTTTTAATTTCAGACGTCCGAATTGGGAGTGACTGAACATATCGAAGGTGACGAATGTAAATTTGCCGTTTGGACGGGACGAGCTCCCATATCGGATTATAGAATCGTTTTAAAGGTAAAAATTGTCGCACGATGGTCGTTATTTTTCCTTCTACTTCCACGATGATCGAAATTAGTTTTGAGAGAGATTAATTTTTTTGCGACAGGCATCTTGTTTGGACGTCAAACAAACGTGGGTTAAAAAACTACGTGAAGTCATACAGGAAACGTATTTTTCGACGGCTTTGCCTCTAAGCTTACCCAAAAGTCCGGCCAAAGGAAAAAGTGGAAGCAGTCAAAGATCGAGCAGAGACATGGAAGACAACGGTTCGTTGGATGAAAATGCGGAAAGAGTTTCCGTTGCGTCTTTCAGTTCCGGAAACACTACGGATTCCGATAAGGTAGGATTTTAATGTAATAATTAAAACCGCGTTGTAAGGGGAGGGAG